GAAGACCAATGCAGAGAATTCCTGTCTAGCTGGACCTGTGCATATTTCAGAGGTAACTCTGTGGTCTCAATGTGTGCCAAGAAGAGGGCTTTTTCCGGCTCTGATGGACGTTTTGGGGATGGGGGAACCTGTATGGAAGGACTGGTCCCCACCTTAATCAGAATGGACCTGAGCTGCTGGCACATACGATGAGGCATTAGAGGGTCATTTCAGCTGAAAGCGGGTGTGCGCTGAGGAGTTTGTCAGTCACACTGACGTGTGTGAGTTGTTGGTAATACACTGGTGTCTGTATCCAGCACAGGAGAGGATGGACACTACAGCAGGGAGAGACTCAGAACCAGAGCCATGGAAATGCTGTGAAGTCTGTAGGATATCCGCTCAAGGAGTTAAATCAAAACAGACACCTAGTCAAATATAAAAGCTGTAAGCATTTATATACAAATGCAAGAGATTTAAAAGCAAAACCAGGGGAATTTCTTAGAATGCCTGGCAGCGGCCAAGAGCCATGATGTAACAGCGTTAGGGAAACGTGGCAGATTGATGAGAAAACAAAAGGGATACAGTCATACCTGGCTACAAACGGAACAGGGAAGAGTAGGACAGAGAGGTGGGGGAGCAGTCTTAAGTCGCACACAGGAGCATCGCTGTAGACAGTTCGGTGAGACCTGGGCTCTGTGCAGTGCAGTCAAACAAGCAAATGGCACGTTAGGTTGCATCGAGAGTGGGGTAGTGAATAGGGAACATTCTAATGCAATTCTGTAAATCAGTGGTGTGGCCTCATGTGGGCTCTGTGTGGAGTGCTGGTCACTGATGTTTTCTGTGTTACCCCGGGCTACAGGGTGAATCGCTCCCACCTGCTTACAGTGCAAGGGAGTCTTCTCTGTGCCCCCTGGGGGGAACCTGCCCCAAACGAGCAGCTGCTGTCAACACAAGCAGCCCACTCTAGGCTCTGCAAGCCCCGTTCTTTCCTTCTGCAGGCGAACAAGTGCATGACCCAGCTCTTAGGCTCCCTAAGTGAGCCTTGGAGTCAGATTGCAGATAATCTATGGGGCTAGTTAACCCCATGAGTTCTGCTCTGTCCCTGGGGCACAAGTACCCCCAGCCTGTCTGTACACACCACTTCATTACACTCAAGTGCCCAGTACCGCAACTTCTGGACACCCACAATATGCAGAGATTCGCTGCCTCTGTGGAAGCAGCATCCCCCTTTCACTAGCATCACCAAAGATCCGCCCTGTCCTTGGCACACGGCACTCAGCCATGGCTCTAGTAAAACCCAGTGGAAGTTTGGGACAAAGCCTGAGAGATTCAAATAGCAGTGAGTAGAAGGGCTGGAAACATCAGGTTACAGGTAAAAGAAAAATCGAAGATGCCCTGTGGAGTCTACATGTGTTAGCAAGTTCCTTTCTGCTCTGAGGGATTTCTCACCCAATGGTCGGTCTGTGCAGCGCCTGCCCAGTCCAGAGAGCTGGGAGCCACTTTCCATGAGACACTCATGCTGGCAGCATGTCACTTCTGTAATGGACAACATCTCCTGTTATACAGAACCAGACCTTTTTCTCTCCTTTGTAATCAGCTTGTCCCTGGTCGTCCCCCTGTTCAGGGTCTTTTTCTTGGGTTCTTTTGTGCTTTGTAAGAGCCCAAGCCTGCACCTTGTCTAGATCGTAAACTCTTGGCGGGGCTAGGTAGAAAGACATCAGTTGTTGTCACGTTTGCTTGAGTGAGCTCTGAGAACCACCCCGCCTGCCCAGTTTCACCTCTAGCAGTTTTGGGACACAATATTCCACCTGCCCCATGACTCTTAATTTCTTCCACATGCACATCCCACAGTAACCATGACAACCAGCGAATTCGTAGTTTTCGGCAGGGACCACATGGTCCCCTTTGCTGAAATAGCATGAAGATGACAATCACAGGGAAAACATGCCCATCTGGGCATACCTAGGCAAGTCCCAGGGTATGTACTTAACTGTCTACCCCCGACTGTGGCCAACATGGGGTACTTGGATCACCTTATCTCCCAGGATATTGCAGAACTGGAAGGGGTTCAGAGAAGAGCAATGGGAATGATCAAGGGCCTGTAAAAACTCTCCAGGAAGATGGAAGAGATTGGGATTTTTACCTTAGAAAGGAGATTAATAAGAGCAGACACGACAGAGAGAAAAATAGTAGAGGAGGGAGAGCGGGAACATCTCTTCTCCCTGCACAAGAACGGCGGACTTCAGTCCTTAAAAGGAAAAGGAGAAAAGGAAACACTTTCTCTCACGCACGCAGAACCCGATGTGTAACTAGCCTGCGGAACACTCTGCCACAGGAAGTTGCTGAAGCCAGAATTTAGTAAGCTGCAAAAAGGGACTGGACACTTGTGGATCAAAACTATTCAGCATGATCACAGTCGATGATAACTGTGGCAGCAACATTAAACCTCTTGGTTCAGGGCTTACATCAGTCTCTAGCTATTAGATAGCATGGTGAGGTCTATGTGGGGGGGAAGAGTATCCCACATCTGCTACCCCAGGGTCTCTCCTCTTCCTCAGCACTGTCAGACAGGGAACCTGGTCTGATCCAGTCGGGAGGCTCCTATGTTCATAAGCATCCTTTGGTAGGTAGGTGCTACTGGGTTGGTTCCCAAGTAAGTCCTTAAATTACAAAAATCTTGTTTTATATGGACAGAACTTCTGCCTGTTCTACTGGCAGTTCTGCGTTCTCCTTCTCCCCGAGTACGGCACGCGTGATGGGGAGAAAAGCTGGGCAGCAGTGACTTCTCTGCTCTCCTCGTTCATCCCTCCCTGGCATCTGCTAAATGGCTGCAATACAATTTGTGATGCGTTAACTGCTGTTCAGCAGGGAGATGGGGCCCTACCATTGTGTTAGGGCTTGTTAATTTCCCTTCATGCTACTAGTGTGTTCAGCTTTGGAGAGCTCCTTGGAGGGCCCAGGCTGGAGGGCTGGGCTTAGGCCTGGAGCCTCCAGCCTCTGCACAGGGGAGAGGCTCTGCCTCCTGGTTGTAATGAGGAGAGAACTGTCAGGCAAGCCCCCCGGCACTGGGCAGGGAGGGAGGAGGCACAGGCTGGGTTTGGCTTGGCCAGTGACTTCACTGCCTTCTTTTTTCAGCTTCTCCCAGTCCCCAGCACTGGAGCTGGACAAGTTCCTGGAGGATGTGAGGTAAGAGGCCTTCCCCCTCCTATGCTGTGAGACTCCCCTGCCTGCAGCGGGCCCTGGGCAGGTCCCTGGATGCTGCTTCTGCTCACCGGGAGAAGGCAAACGCCCTCCATAACGCTGCTCCTCTTGCAGGAACGGCATCTACCCACTCACAGCCTTTGGGATGCCTCGGCCCCAGCAGCCCCAGCAGGAGGTGGTGAAGTCCCCCATTGTCCCCCCGTCAGTGAAGACCCCAACGCCAGAACCTGCTGAGGTGGAGACCCGCAAGGTGAGAGCGGGAGATGCTGCTGCTCTCCCTCTAGTGTCTGCACCGTGCAGTGACAGCTGGAGTCACATGGCCTCTCTGCTTCCCTTTCAGGTGGTGCTAATGCAGTGTAACATTGAGTCAGTGGAGGAGGGAGTCAAGCACCATGTACGTTTCCATCTCCCTCTTGCACACGCATGCTCTGCACGGCCGGGGTCTAAGGCACCTGCTCCAAGGGTCTCTGCTCTGCCTTGGCAGCAGTAGTGGGGTGAGCGGAGCTGGCTCCAGTTTGCAGGCCCCAAAGCCAGGGCAGAGCGTGGCAGCCCACCTGGTGCAGCGCAGTCCCTGCGGGATGAGCGCGTGGCATTTCCTGGCTTGGGTGTGGTGCATTCTGTCCCGGGGGAGCGGAGGGGGTTGTACTGGGCCTGCTCCAGGCACTGCTCAAAGTACTCCCCACCCTGCCCCCCACCGTAAAGGGCACTGGCCACCAGGGCTGTGGGGGGAGGGGCTTCCCCCCAGATCATGCAGGAATTGCAGCTCCTTCTCATGCTCACCTTTCTCCTGCAGCTGACATTGCTGCTGAAACTGGAAGACAAATTGAATCGACACTTGAGCTGTGACTTACTGCCCAGTAAGTACCTGCCCTTCCCCTCCCCTCCCCGGGGCGTCCCACCAGTCCAGGACTCACTCCTCCGCTCTCTCGTAGGTGACAATACCCAGGAGCTGGCGGCTGAACTGGTGCAGCTGGGATTCATCAGTGAGGTGAGCTCCTGCCTCACCCCCACTGGCACGAGGGGGAACTGGCTGCATGGGCTCCCCCCTCGCCCCCCAGGCAAGCTTGTTCCTGTGTCAGCCCCCTCCCCTCAGGGTTTCTTGTCCTGCCATCCCACCAGTCTTCCCCTTCCCAGGGCCAGGCTCCTGCTGCCCCCTCACCCCAGTCTCTCAGGTGTGGGCTGGGTCAGCCCCATGGCCCAGCCACGCTGCTCACTCTGCCCTGCTCTCCCTAGGCCGACCAGAGCAGACTCAGCTGTTTACTTGAAGAGGCGTTCAGCAAGTTCCACCTTGCCCGGAACGGAGCCCTGACGGCGGTGACCGTGTCGTCCTAGCAGCCCCTCCAGGCTGGCTGGCGTTGCTTAGTTGCCCGTGATCCTTTTCTGAGTCTGTCCATCTGTGTAGGCACCAGCAAGACCCTAGACGCTGCGCTTGGAAGCTCATCCTGCATGTGCCGTCGCCAGGCCCAGCGACAGTCTGCCCTGCCTACCTATTAAAGGGGACTTTGCGAGTCAGTATTATTTCAGCCGTGTTTTGTTGGGATGGTGTGGGGCGGCGTGGCCAGCCGGGCCGCGGGAATGTGCATGGCATTTGGTCTGTTGGAACTGTACAAAGGTTGGTGGGTTTTCTTTTGCACAGGACAGAAATCTTTTTATTTAAAGGTAGGAAAGAGGGGAGCCCCTTACCCCCATGTGCACCACATCTGGCATCTGCCTCTAGCACCGTTCTGTATTCACCCCCCAGGGCAGGGGTGAGGGGGGCTCTGCAAAGCGCCCTGCTCACCCTCGCCCCAGCAGCCCCTTGGTGCTTCTCCATCACTTGTTTACGTGTTGCACAGCAGCTTGGCAGGGGCAGGGCAGGGGCTGGAGGGGCGACTGCTCTCCTGGACCTGGAGCGAGCGGGGCAGGGGTGTGGCTGGGAGCAGGTGCCTGGAGCACTCGCGGGTGTCCCATAGTGGGCTCCTCCCACTGCTGACACCGAAGCCCCCGTCTGAGACCGGGCCCTGGGCCTGGGGAGGGGCAGCTGTGAGCGTGCAGAGCCTTAGGACTGGATTTCTGCCCCACTTCTCCCCGGGGCGGGGAGCTCACCTGAGCAGGGGCCTTGTCTCAACCACTCCTCTCCCTGCTGCAGCCCCATCCCCAGAGCCGGGGCCTCTGCTCTGGCAGCTGCTGCTGCACCTCGGAGCCTCCTGTGTCTAGTTTCTATCAGTTCCTATTTTTAATAAACGGTTTTGTAAATAAGTAAATGCTGCTTCTTTGCCATGTGTGCT